CCCCAAAACCCCAAAACCCCAAAACCCCTTTCGACAGAATTATAAGTTAAAGAATATTATTGAAATAGAATATTAAAAGAGCAAAACAAATGCAAACAGATAGTAGAAGAAATAGTGCAAGGTATTAATAAAGACCTCCATCAAATCAATAAAATGAATCTTTTCAAGCCAGTTTGTAAGATCCAACTTATGGATAGTATGAGTATGACCAAAATCCTTATGGTAATAACTCTAGTGGAGGCAAAAAAAGAAATTTCAATAAATAAAATAATAGAGGCAGTGGAGGCAATAGCTACAGATCTAATTAGTAATAGCATATAAATGATAGTCTCCCAATAGCTTAATATGATAAAGATAGATTGAACATCATCATTCATTCTGATCCCAAAACAAAAAAAGAAACTGTAGTTATAATTAAGAGAACAATAAAATCTTTTGTGTATCATGCTGATGACTACTACAGAGATAAAGGTTCTAAAAGAAATAATTACATTAATCAAGAGATAGACAAACCCGGAGATAGAGATCTTAATAAATTTTACAAAAATAGGTATTACTTATTTAGCAAATTTGACAGAGGAATAAAAATAGATGAAGAGAGTTGGTTTTCAATTACACCTGAGACAATAGCAAAACATGTAGCAAGTAGAGTTGTTGATGTTTTCGGAGAAGGTAATGCAAATATCATCGATGGGTTCTGTGGTGTTGGTGGAAATGTAATACAATTTGCCAGGAAGTGCGGATTCACTGTAGGCAATGGTAAGCTAAAAAATTTCAAATTTAATCTTTATTAGATTTTGATTAAACTAAAAGCGAATATTGTCTTCATAATGCTAAGATCTATGGTGCAGAGAAAAAACTATAAATCCTGAACAAAGATTTTAGAGAGATGAAATTGGACGATATCTAATATCCTTAAGATTCTGCATCTAAAATCGATGTGGTTTTTATGAGTCCACCATGGGGAGGGATTGGTTATAATCTGCTAGAAGAGTACAAATTGGAATATCTTTACCCTAAATTCAATGATATTCTGCTCACTGCCTTAAGATTTTCAGGAAATTTAATATTCTTTTTGCCTAAAAATACATCAATCAAAGAGATTTTAGATGAGTTTGTTCCACATGGTCAAGAGTTCAACGAATATTCGGATTCTATGAAAAATGAGCTCATAATTGAAATTGAACAAATAATGTATGGAGAATCATGCAAGGGAATTCACATATATACAGGATAGTTAGTTCATATAGATTAGAGGGAAATGGTTGAGCATTTTTACAATAATTATTGTCATCCCTTTTCTTAGTCAGATGAAACTTATTTAAAAGTAATTCTTGGCAACATATTTTCTCTTTGTGGATATAATCACTTCATTGAGTATTTCAAATACAAAGAAGGACCAAAAGTCTCACTTTAAAAGATAATAAAGAAACTCTAAAAGAACTTTTCAGAAGATGAGTGGAACTATCTAAAGAAATATCATAAGCGTAGCAGAACTAGTTCATTTAAATCTTCTACTCTTAGTCATATGTCAATAGATGAAGAGAAAAAATCAACAAAGAGCGAAACATTATCTCATGCAAGTGGCTAAAAGAGTTCAGCTTGTTCCTCGAGAAAGACATCATTTACTAAGAAAAAATCAAAAGCTGAAAAACTAACATAAAAGTATAAAGTTGGCAATGATCATATGGATGAAGACTTACCAGAGGAAGAAGAAGATGAAAGTCCTAAAGACACTAATAAAAAGAAAGAAAGAATGGTCCATTTTGAAGAAGCTCAAGATCATATCGAGTTAAAGGACTTGAAAGAAAAGGATTTTGTAGACTTGATTGCTTCAAAAAATTAAGACACAAGATTCTACGGTTGGCTTCATTTTGGACCTCTTGACAATCATAAGGAGAAAAGTACTGATCCAATTCAGGATTTGGAATTCTTTGATAACATATATGGTTATCAAAATAACCAATGAATAATAAATAAATAGTTTCAAGTAATGATGAGTGTATTTGAATTTTAATTTTTTATAATTCAATTTACTATATTTGTCACAATGATCATAATTCTAACCATTTATATTTACCCTTATTTCTAACTACGGGGGTTTTGGGGTTTTGGGGTTTTGGGG